GTTTGAACTAACATCTCTTGACTTGCCCCTTCTTTCGCATTCCACACACCTGCCAGCCCATAGCTGAGCCCCAGCGTGCTCTTGCCGAACCACTTGACAAAATAGGTCGCCACGCGGTCACCCAGGCCCGTCTTGACAAAGCCTCGGGCGAAGAAGAATGAGATGACGATGAGCCAGATGACCTCGTTGGTCATGGCGCTGCATGGGGGGGTTGGGGGGGAACGGAGGGGAGGGGGGGTGGAATGGGTGGCACATTGGGGATGCGGTGTGAGTGTTTTGAGTCTGACTCAAAACACACCCGGTGTGAGTGAGTCGCCACACTGTCGCCCAGGCCCGTCTTGACAAATCCACGAGCGAAAAAGAATGAGATGACGATGAGCCAGATGACCTCGTTGGTCATGGCGCTGGTTTGGAGGTAAGGAGTGGGTGGTGGTGGGAGATTTGGAGATAACGAATGTTCCACTGTCTCTGATTGGGTAGGCACAGACAACGAGAGACAACAAAGTGAACTTGTGAAAAAGGAGGGAAGAGGGTGGGGGGGTTATGAAGAGCCATGAACCGTGAAGAATGGGGTTGGAAAAAGTAAGGGCGGCATTGGAAGAAAAACAGTGACTTAAGAGCTGCTGAGAAGGAGAGAGAATTGCAGAGGACGCTGTTTCTGAGGCGCATCACAAACAGGCTGATCTGGGAAGTGCGGTTTTGAGGCGCCTCGAAAACGGACTGACCTGAAGGCTGCAGCGAACGAGAGGGTCTTGGAGAGAACGGTGAAGGTGAGGCAGACGAAGGCCCACGCGCCCACTGGGAGGGGACTGGTTGGGGGAGAGAGTGGTGCGGGGTGAATGGAAGGGGTGTGGGTGACAAGGGAAGAGAAGCAGCGAAGGAGAGGATCTTGGAGAGAACGGTGAAGGTGAGACAGACGAAAGGCCTGCGCGCCCACTGGGAGGGGACTGAAGGATGGGGTGAATCAATCAAAAGGTTGCGTTCGACAGGGCAAGAGAGGCAGCCAAGCAGATCGTCTTTTAGAGAGAGAGCGGCGAAGGTGAGGCAAACGAAGACCCACGCGCCCACTGGGAAGGGACTGACAGGGGATGAGATTAAAAGTTGAACACAAAGGGAGGGGTGTGGTGTGGGAAGGGAACTGGATCACCAGAGGAGATTGTTGGAGAGGACAGTGAAGGTGAGGCAGACGAAGGCCCACGAAACAGTGATGGCCAACCATTCTGGTTGCCCGAAGGAAAGCAAAGCAATACTTCTTATAAAATCTCGGAATATATATACTTTCTCCCGGGGCGCTTGCCTTGTCTGAGTACTGGCCGACTATTCTGCTTACCAGAGCATGAGACCAGTGATGGTGGAGATGAAGAAGGTCGGGTTTTGAGACGTCTCAAGAGGAATCTACTTTCTCGAGTTGCCCGTGCCGTGTGAACATTCGGCTTACCCGAGCACGAGACCAGTGATGGTGGAGAGGAAGATGGCGAGCAGCTGCCATGCTTGGGTGGTCACTCCGGCAGGGACTGGTGGGCGAAAGGGCGGGACGGATGGAGGGATGGAAGGAGGGAGGACGGGAGAGGGTAAGGCGGCCAGCGGAAAAAGTTAACGAGCCTGGGTTGTAACTCCGGCGGGGACTGGGGGGGTTAGTGAAAGAGGAGAGGATATTGTAGGACAATGCAGCTTGTGAATATGCAATCCGAAAATGCGGCATGTGAAATGCAGCTAGCGAAATTGCAGCATGCGAGATTGTAGCTAAGCGAGGTTGCAGCAAGCGAAAACGCAGCATCCGTGATTGTAGCTAGCGAGATTGCAGCAAGCGAAAACGCAGCATCCGTGATTGTAGCTAGCGAGGTTGCAGCAAGCGAAAACGCAGCATCCGTGATTGTAGCTAGCGAGATTGCAGCAAGCGAAAATGCAGGATGCGAGATGTAACTAGCAAGATTGCAGCTAGCGAAAATGCAGGATGCGAGATTGTAACTTGCAAGATTGCAGCTAGCGAAAATGCAGGATGCGAGATTGTAACTAGCAAGATTGCAGCTAGCGAAAATGCAGCTTGCGACCCGAGTCCCGAGAGTGTTACAGAGCTAGACGGCCGTGGTGCTGCCAAGGTGGTGAAACAGTTCGGTAATCTGCACTTCTTGATACAGCGAATTCCATGCTGCTTGGCTGAACGGAACCCGGTAGACCACGGCTTGTGTCGTAGGGCTAATCATTTTTAACGGCCCATTCATCAACATTAAAATCTATGTTTGTATCTACAGCTACAGATTAATCCGCACCGTCTGACGTACCCGGGACCAAGAATCGGACGGCCAGGCCAACGCCGACGGAGATGATGAACGGGATCGGCGCGGCGCCAGCCCACGTGAATTTAGGTTTCTCGCTCTCCGCGGGAGCGGGAGCGGCGGCGGAGGCGGCGGATGCGGAAACAACCAAACGCTGCGCGAGAGAGCGCTTCGTGCTGCTTCGAGATCGCAGCCGTAGATCAGGGAGGCCCGCTGCGGGACAGAGAGCGGAGAGCTGAGTGGACGGCTTAGATGCGTTGATCGGTGCAATCGGACGGCTGAGGAATGACGTCGAAATGCTGCGTGCGGAAGCCGCTCGAACAACGGGCCTTTGCGTAAGACTGGAATGCACGACCGCATTGCGAGGGTTCACCGCATTGTGCGGGGACAGGGGGTTCGCTGCGAGTCGCACGGCCCTGGGCTGGAGCAGCAGCGACGACGCCATGAGTAGAGTCTAAGAAAAGTAGAGGCTTTATGATTCACAAAAGGTCAGGATGAAGAGCTGGGGTAATGCGGCTTGGCTGGTCCTGTTCTAGTCCCTAGTGTACAACTCTGGTCCAGGATGGAAGAAGGGAAGGAGAAAAGAAGAAGAAAGTGGAGTGGAGGAAAAAAATGATGGCTTTTGATTCGAGAGTTTGTTGCTGCTTCACAGATCAGATCGGTGCAGCGCGGTCTTGTGCTCACGAAACGGATCAGAGCTGTGAGTGGTGCGTGCCTACGTGGATGGTGTGGTGGGTGCGCATCCTCCTCCAATGGTGGCTCGTTGTGGGTCCAGGATCGTGAGCTGTGGTTGGAAGAAAAGGAAGTTGGTCACGAGATGTGCGGGAGATCCTAGGGCTGTATTTTGACGCCTGCGGTAGGGGTAGGCTTCAGCTGTTCTCAAGCTGGAGACAGCGTGCATGAATGAGTCGGGGTACGTAACTTAGATCACATTCCTAATTCCCAGGAACCCGTTCTGCCTTCTATTCTCGAAGGGCTCAGCTGGGAAACGTCGCACGTCCATCCGCGTTATTGCGTATAGTAATTGTTATCCTTATGTGATTCCAGTGGACTGCTGTACTCTACTCAAGTGGTGTATGATTCACCTATCAGGACTTCATCCCTCGATCAGACAGTTGACTGCCTCACTGCTCCTGCAGAGGTTCTGACACCAAGGCGCCACAAAGTTCCCGCTGAAATTTGAAACACTGGGAGCCTGAACAACAAGCAGACCAAACCAGGACTGATCCCTCTGCTGACCGAACTGAATTTCCCACCATTGATCCCCGGAGCGCGTCGTCATGAGTCTCAGTTCTTGCTCCGTGAACAAGCAGTTGCGAACGGTTCTATGCACGTTGGAGCGGTTCATGCTCTAAACTGCTTCGAACAAAAACTCACCATCTGAACATGATGGTTCAACTCATCTCATGTCCTTGTCCCTGCAGCAATCCCAAGGTCCCTCATTCTCCTCCTTTCGTTGATTCTTCTGTCTTTCATTCAGTGACACGACCTAGAAGCCAGCATAGACTTCCTAGCCAGAGTAGGTTGACGTTTCATGACTAGAGCAGAACCCTCATCTGCTCATCTACAGACCGCTGTCAGGATTTCTGCAACGATAGTCTCGTGATGGCATATCTAAGCCTTCTCACGTCATAAGCTCGTAGTATTACACGATAGACGAGTTGCTAGAGCACTTAGGCGGACTCTAACTGGGTTATTTATCGATTCGTCTCTACATTCTCACCTTGACAAGATGAGCCGGAGGAGGGGTAGAGCCCCCAAAGCGGAAGCTAGCAACGTTGCGATTTCAGACACCCGTGACCCCGTGACAGACATACTGGTAAGTACTTGTCTCGAAGGATGTCCTTTCTTTGTATCATTTTTTTGACGCGTTTCTGTTCTTTGACGTCTTCGTATCATATGATCATATGCTCTTCATTCAACATTTGAACAAGTTCCATTTAATGCTCAAGATTTTTGCTTGACAATGACCCGTGTGTTTGTCGTTCACGTGTGCCTTTCGTTAGCGTGTGTGTTTCGCGAACGTGTGTCTCTCTTTTCCGTGTGCCGTTCACTAACGCGTCTCTTTCATCAACACGTGTTTTTCAGCGAGGGATCTGGAATCAAGGGCAGCACGATTCTTCAAGTCAGCAAAAGGACTGGAAAGACTGGATAAGCCTCGTCGAGAAGCATCTCAAATCGTCCACTACGCAACCGACACGTCATCAATCGACCGCCGATGTCCCACAACCCAAGCGAACCCGCAACAACAAATCATCCAGTCGCGACGACATTGAGAACCAAGGTTTCTGTCTCAAATCTTCAACAGCTATTCCCTTGGCACCGCATCTTGAACAGCTGTTTCGTTACACCAAGCCAGCAAGCTCGCAGGCGTTACAGGCAACCCCAGTTGTTTCGTTACAGTTTCCAAACCCATTCCCGAGCAACGAATCTGTTAAGCGGAAAGACAGCGACGTGGTTAGTGTTCTCTCCTTCACACCAGCAGCAGAAGAGGATAAGGAGAACAAGGAGAATGGCAGCCAGATCCGACGGTCAGCCCGCTCACGATCTAAAGGCCTGGGTCCGCTTTCCCAGCCTTCCCCAGATGCACCTCCTACAGGACCTCCTCCCAGCCGTCGATCTTCCTCCAGATCCCGGGGGACGAAGATCCAACGGCGGGGGACAGCTTCGCCATCCGAAGAGCTCGCGGAGAAGCTTGAGCAGGTGCAGCTGGCGTTCAAGGCTATGGACGCTAACGAGGCGAATCATAACGCGGATGGAGGAGCAATGACACGTGTCACTGATCAAGGCACTGATGTTAATGTTGACTCCCAGGGAGCTATTCCAGTGCAAGGCACGGAGAAGATGGAAGACGGAGACGGCACGGGAGATCTAGCGGGGGCAGAGGCTAAGGAAGCGGATTGTCCAGCGAAGCAGCCGAAAGGAAAAGGAAGACCACGGAAGGTGGCGAAGCCTGCTCCTGCTCGGTCCCGAACGGCTCCTGCGCCTGAAGAGGAGGAGGTCGTGGTAGCACCTGAAGCTGCTGGCGAAGCTGCTTGTACCGAGGATGCAGCAGGCGGAGATAAGACGAAGGAAATGGAGGAAGTGGAGGAGGTGGAGGAAGTACAGGAGGTGGAGGAGGTTGTGGGAGACGAGAAGCAGAAAGAGGACGCAGCAGAAACTGCTATTGCCACTGACGTGGAAAGCTCGGCTGCAGCAGCAGACAAGCGCGGAGGTGCGAGAGGACGCCGAGGCAAGAAGGCAGCAGTTTCCGAAACTGTTGACGAAGCTAGAGAAATTGTGCCAGTTGTGGAGAGGCGAGCCACTCGAGCCTCGGCCAGAGCTGCTGCTGCTGCTGCTGGCGGTGCTGGTGCTGCTGGTGCGCCTGCTGCTGCGCAGCTGCCACCTCTACCTCGCCGGGGACGGCCAAGGAAGGCTCAGAAGCAATCGGACGAACCAGGTGAGTGTGATTGGTTTCGTTTGGCTTACACTTCTGATCCTTACTACGCTGCCGACATTATGCTGGATCCCCCACTTTCAACTCGACTAAGCCTGATGGTTTGCTCTCATTGACCACCTGCGCAGAGCCTGCTGAAGTTCCTCAGCCCGTCCCTGCTGAAACGACCCTGCCCGTTGATCTGGCTCCAGCGAAAGCTCCAGCAGAGAAGAGGGCGACGAGAGGCAGAAAGAGAGCAACCGGGAATGAAGCAGGCAGCAGCAGCTGCAACAGTGGCTTGGACGCAGTTGCTTTGGCTGCAGACGCACCTGTTCACGTGAGTCTTTCTCCCGAGAAGGAAGTCAAGACGGTTGTTGTGACTGTTAGCACTGGTGATGCTTTTGGAACGTCCTCCCCTGTACGTGTGGGTGGAGCATCGGCTGCTGCTGCGGCTGAGGGTGGTGGTAATGATACGACTGTTGGTGCATCCGCTGACTTGGCTCCATTGGAATCCGCTGGCCAAATGGCCGCTGACGCGGAGGGCGAGAAGGACGAGGAGGAAGTCAAGGAGGGGGAGGAAGTAAAGGAAGGCGAGGAAGGGAAGGAGGAGGAAGGGGAGGAAGCGAAGGAAGTGAAGGAAGGGGAGGAAGGGAAGGAGGAGGAATTGGAGGAAGCGAAGGAAGTGAAGGAAGGGGAGGAAGGGACTGAAGCGGACGACAGTATGGAGGTGTGTGAGGAGGTGAAAATGGTGGCAGAGGAGACTCTAGTGGAGCCTGCAGCATTTGGTGAAGTGGCGGAAGGGACAAAAGACATGCCTTGTTCTGCAGCTTCTGACGCGGATGGTGCAGTGGCAATAGCTGCTGCTGAGGTTGGTGCTGCTGATTCGACAGTTGCTGATGCAGACGATGCTGCAGCAACGGCTGCTGATGCTGCTGGCGAGAGGAATTTTCACGTAGCAGCTTCGGCTGCTCGTGCGGATGCTGATGCTGGTACCAATGCAGATGCAAACGCTGCTGCTGATGGAATAAATCTTGTCTCGGTCGCCACTGCTGATGGCACTGAGGAAGATGGCCTTGAGGTGACAGGAGCCATTCAGCATGCAGAGCCTGAGGACCTAAACGAAGCAGCTATTGGTGAAGATGAATCCGCGACCGTGCTGCCAGTATCGGATGTTGGTGTGGAGGTGGCAGCAGCAGCCAGTCCAGGAGAGGAGCTCGGTGGCCTTGGTAAGGCAATGCGTGAAGAGGAAGTTGAGACTGCGCTGGGGGTTGAGTCTGGCAGTCCAGCTCTTGCTGACGAGAAGCAGGCAGTCGAGGGGGTTACAGAGGCGGCTGCGGTTGTTGAGGAGGGAGAAGTGGAGACTGCAGAGGAGATGCAGGAGAAGGATGATGCAAGGGTCGCAGCTTCTGACCCTGTGCAACCACCTGAAGGGACGGTAGACACGGAAGACATGGAAGCCGCGGAATGCCAAGCGGGTGCTGCTGAGTGTGAGGAGAGGACTGCGCGTGATGCTGAGCTGGGAGTGCTGCCGACGGGAGAGTCTGGCGCAGTAGTAACTAAGCCACGGAGGGCCGCGAGTGGCTGCTGTGTTGGCGGTTATGCGGAAGCAGATGAGAGGCTCAGAGTTCCAAGGGAGGATGTAGCGCCAGAAGTGATTGTTGCCGGGCCAACAGAATCCGTGGCAGGAGAGGAAGAAGAGGAGAAGGCGGAGGAACAGGAAGACGGGAAGGAGGATGAGGAAGGGAAAGAGGAGAAGGGAGAAGAGAAGGAGGAGGAGAAAGTAGAGAAAGGGGAAGAGGAAGTAGAGGAGGGGGAGGAAGTAGAGGAGGGGGAGGAAGAAGAGGAGGGGGAAGAAGTAGAGGGGGAAGAAGTAGAGGAGGGGGGAGAATTGGAGGAGGGGGAGGAAGTAGAGGAAGGGGAGGAAGTAGAGGAGGGGGAGGAATTAGAGGAGACGATGGACGGAAGGGGAGACAACGATGCGTTGGGAAAGGAAGAGGAGGAAGTGGAAGCGAGGGAGGTTGTCAGCATGGAGGTAGAAATGGGTAGTACAGCAGCAGAGGGTGATGAGCACCGGATCGAGGCAGAGGAAGTGGGTGGTGTTGGCACAGAGAGTGACTCGCTCTCACAAGGGGAGATGGAGGAGAAATCGGTGTTGGGAATAGACGGAGGCGAGGAGGACAGTCCTGGAATGTCGGAGTCCATTGAACCCGGTGCGGATGCTGCTGTTTCGGAAACGCCTGAAGCTGACGTCAGCCTGTTGGAATCTCCTGAACCTGAGGAAGCTGCGAGAGAAGCTTCTTCACCACAGGCGTGCTTTTTGGTGGCAGAGGGCATTGATGAGGAGACGAGGGAAGAGGGAGGAGGCGGTGATGGAGAGAGTGAGGCTGAAGACATGGAGATTGAGGAGGAAGAGGCGGCGGAGGAGGAAGATGGGGCGGAGGAGGAAGTGGGGGCGGAGGTGGCGGCTGCAGGTACTGTGGCTGAGTGTGCCGAAGGCCTTGACGGGACGCCAGCTCCACAAGGCTCAGAGGCAGATAGACATGCGGGGGCAGTAGAGGCGTCAGACGCGTCAGAAGGACCAGAGGCAGCAGAACGGCTGGAGGTAGCCGAGGCTGTAGAGAGCAGCTTGGGCTTGGTGGCCCATTCAGTTGGCACAACCGTCGCGGATGATGCACTGCTGTGTGAAGGTGACTCTGCGGTTGAGGAGGAGGGGGAGGAGGATGAGGAGGAGGAGGAAGAGGAGGAGGACAAGGAGGAAGGGGGAAAGGAGAGGCGAGAGGAGGAGCAAACGGAGAATGAAGAGGAAGTAAGAAAGGATGCAGGGGTGGAGGAGGGGAGGGAAAAGATGGAGGAGAAGGAAGAGACGGAGGAGCAGGAAGAAAGCGAGGAGAAGGGAACGGAAGTGAGTGATGATATGATGAAGGACGGTACAAAAAGAGCAGCAGGGCAGCACAGGGACGTCACTGGGGGAGAAGAAGCGTTGACTTCTAGGGCGCAGGATGCGAAACCGGACGAGGTGGGATCAACCCCGAGCTTCAAGAGAGAAGAAACGAGCATTGATGGTTCTGGCTTCGATAAAGAGGAGCAAACCTTCCATGGCTTTCCTATAGCCAGGGAGGAGGCGACCGTGCACGGGCTCCGGGTGCTACGCAGCAGCAGCAGGGTAGCGGCTAGTGCAAGAAAAGCCCCTGCTGCTAGTGCCAGCAAAGCAACGCGCAGCCGGACAAGGGGCGGAGGCAGAGGTAAGAACGTGGGCAGTACGGAGGCTGCTAGTGCTGCTGGGACTGGCAGGAGAAGGGGCCGAGGACAGACTGCGACTGATATGGTGCGAGAGGCTGGGGCTCTTACCTTCGCTGCAGCAGGAGGTCTGATAGATGAGGCGGGTGGGACCAACGCTGATGCTGCTGTGGAGGATGTTGATCCGGCTCAAAAGTCGCCTGATGCTGCTGCGGAGACTTCCGAGGCAATTCTTAAGTCGCCGGATGCAGCTGTGGTTGAAGGACCGTGTGATGATCCTGCGGAGATGGTGGGGATGGGAGAGACGGTGAAGGAAGCAGAGCAGGAGGCGGAGAAGGACGAGGAGGAGGAGGCGAGTCAGAGTAGTGGGAAGAAGCTGAAGGTGGGAAACAAGGAGCTGCGTGAAAAGGGGGACGGAGAGAGGTCCAAGCGTAAAGAGAAGGGGGAAGAAATGAGGTATGAGGTTGAGGAGAAGGGGACTGGTGTGGCTGTGTCAGTAAGCTGTAAGGAGAACGACGAGCCAGCGTTACGGACCAAGGATGAAGCTCAAATGGATAGCAAAGCTGCTGCTGACAGTGAGGATGTGAATGGTGAAGAGAAGGCAGGAGAGGCGAAGGAAGGTGCCGCAGGCAGGAGAAGATGTGTGCTGGCTCGACTTAGGGCGCAGGGCGCTGCTGCTGCTTTCGGGGGCACTGCCTTTGGCAGGGGCATGGTTGAAGGAGCGAAGAGCAGGGCGGAGGGGGATGAGATTCTGCAGCAGCTGCGAAATAACGGTAGGATGAAGAGAGTGAAGTGTGCAGGAGGTGCGGCAGGAGGAGGTGGAGGGTTCTTGGCGGAGTTGAGAAGCGCTCTGGCGCGGCATGGTGGGAGTGAGGAGCGGGAGGAGGGGGAAGAGGCGGTGGCAGAAAGGGAGGGAGAAGGAATGGGAATGGAGAGCAAAGTAGAGGAAGAGAGGGAACCTGGGCATGACGTGGTGCAGAGCGAACGGGAAAAAGAGGTGGGAGAGGCGGATTTGAGTGATAGGAGCTTCAGTTTGGGTAAAGGTGGTGAGGTTGAGAAGGACGAGGTTCAAGCAAGCAGGGAGAAAGCTTTTGACGAGGACAAAGAGGTGATGCTAGAGTCGGTGTCTGATGCTAATGTGGACGAGGGAGGAATGGAGGATGAGGATGAGGGAGGCAAGGAGGAAGAGGAGAGGAAGGACGCATGTGGCGACGACGTGGGGAATGCGGATGGGAGGGAAGAGGAGCTCGAGGAGGGGGCTGAGGAGGAAATGGAGGAGGAAGAGAAAGAGGGAGAGGACGAGGAGGAAGGGGAGATAGAGTGGATGGATGGCCAGTGCGTGGTAGGTGAAGCAGATAAATGCGCAGAGGATGAAGCAGATGCTGATGAGCCATTGGACGATGTGGCAGCTGCGGATGATGGTGTGGATGACGCAGCTGATGAGGTAGATGACGTATCTGAGGAGCTGGATATTGCAGCTGATGATGTGGAAGCTGCAGGTGATGAGGTGGATTCTGCAGCTGATGACATGGATGTCATGTCTGATGACGAGGATGCAGCCAGTGAGGGACATATGTCCGAGGGCCATGATGGAAATGATGGTGATGGTGAGTGTGGTGGAGATGACAGGGATGAGGAGGAGGAAGAGGAGGAGAAGGAGGAGGAGGAGCACGTCTGTGCAGAGAGTGACGAGGTCTTGCTTCCTGCAGGTGATGAGTTGCAGGAGCAAGGGCGAGTCTACAATGTAGTGAGCGCCAAGGAGGAAGGAGAGACGGAAGAGGAGGAAGAGGAGGAAGCGGAGAAACAGCAGGAAGAGGAGGAAGAAGGGGAGGAAGCGGAGGAACAGCAGGAGGCGGAGGAGGAAGTGGGGGAACAAGACAACGAGCAAGGTAGTGAGGCGGTAGATGAAGAATGCATCGGGCAGGAGCAAGGGGAATTTGCAGAGGAGACGAGTGGTGAAGGGGCAGCAGACATGGAGAATCAGTGTGAGTTGAAATCCTCTGTGGGTGGTACGGCTTGCAGTGATGCTTCTGCTGATGCGAGCAGGATAATCAAGGTCCCGCATACTGCTTCTGAGGCGAAGGATAATCAAGGTCTCGCAGCAGTTCCAGGGGGCTCCATTCCTAGCGAGATCAGATCCACGATGCTGAGAGCCCCAGTCAGCAGATCACTAGCTTCCACCCCCGGAATTGAGAACCCAGCCTTAGAACCAGCGATTCGTTGTGCCTCACTGGTTGGGAGCTCTGCTGCATGGACAGCACAAGCAGGGTCAGCAGCAGCAGTCCCTTCTGCCGCAGCATCCAGGATTGTGGGGCAAGGAGGGAGGTTCGTAGGCGCCTCTCGGATTCTGGGAGGGGGGCTGCTTACTGGTGGAGTGACAGCAGCTGTTGGTGCTGGCAATGCGTCTGGTAGCGGTTTGGGGGTCAGTGGTGGAAGGAGTGTGGTGGCTGGTGCAGGGAGCAGTGCAGCAGGAAGTGCGGGAGCAGCGGGAGCAGGGGGAGCAGCGGGAGGAGCAGCAGGTGCAACGGTGGGAGCAGCGGGAGCAGTGGTAGGGTCACGTTTTGCAACATCAACCACCTCGTTTGTGTCACTAATCATGAAAGCTCAACCAGCCCCACCCCCTCCTGCGTCGGGGAAGCAGAACGTCCAAGTGAAAGCGCTAGCAGCGGCCGAGGCAGCAAGGCTGGAAGCAGAGCAGAAGGCGGAGGAGAGGAAGCAGAGGCGGATCGCATTGGAAAAACGGCGGGAGGAGCGAGGGAAGGCAAAAGCGGAAGGAAAAGAGAGCGTTTCAGATGCAGCAACGGGTGTGGCTGGGAGAAAGGGGCGGGAAAGAGGGGTAGCTGTTGCAGACCAACCCCCTGCAACGCCTAAAGGCTCTGGTGGGGTGCGTGTGGGGGTTACTGATGCTGCAGAAGCACGGGGAACAGGTGTTAAGACGAGATCCGGAAGGAAAGTGGAGGTGGGGATGAGTGAGCGGGAGGGCGTGCAAGGGAAGATGCAGAAAGCGATGCAGTCTAGGAAGGAGAAGGAGGAAGAGAAGGCGAGGAGGTTGGAGGAGGCGCGGGAGAAGGAGGAGGAGGAGAGGAGGAGGAAGGAGGAGGAGCGGGTGGCGAGGAAGAGAGAGAGGGAGGAGATGGAGAGGGCGAAGGTGGAGGAGAAGAGGAGGCGGGTGGAGGAGGTGGCAAAGGCGAAAAAGGAGATGGAGGAGAAGGCGAGGCAAGAGCACATGGAGAAAGAGAGAAGCAGGAAAGCCAAGGTACATCCACTCTACCCCTCTTTCTGTTCTACCCTATAAATACTCTACTTGAATCCTAATGTACCTGTATTTTTCAGGTCAGGTGGTGAAACCATTTAAGCATGAGTTGTTCTTTCCACTGTTCAACACTCCCATCAATTAACCATTTTTGGCCTTCTCTTGTGCCTGCAGTTTGTAATCATTCTGTTCCGTTTTCTCCCTGGGCCCATGTCTTACTCAACACTGGATTGGCAGGAAGAGGAAGAGAAGGCCAAGAAGGCCGCAGAGGAGGAGGCGAAGCGGCAGAAGCGGGCAGAACGGGAGAAGGAGGCGGAGAGGCGGAGGAAGGAGGAGGAGCAACAGAAGGCTGCGAAGCTGGCTGAGAAAGAAGCAGAGAGAAAGAGGCGGGAGGAGGCAGCAGAGGCAGAGAAAAGGCGGAAGGAGGAACTGGCTGTGCAGCACAGGAGGGAGCACGAGGAGATGGAGATGCGGAGGTTGCAAGAGGCCAGAAAAGGGGTAAGCTCTTCGGTCAATTCTTGTAGGAAAGGAAGCTCTTTTTCTGGTATTCTACAGCGTTGCAATTGTCCCCTGTTTGCTGACTTCTTTTCAGACCTGACATCATTTTTCCTGTCTCCCATCTGGTGTTTGGTAATGGCAGGTGACTCAAGACCCAGCAGCACCGCCACCAGCAGCAGCAGCAGCAGCAGCAGGGCAGGCTAGAAACTCCCACGCACCTTCCTATCGTCCCTCTACCTCCAACCCCTCATCTGCCGCTCCCTCCTTCACCTCCTTTCTTGTTCCAGGCAGCCGGCCTCCTAAGCTCTCTGGTGTTCTTATAGGGGGTGGGCTTGCATCGAGAGGCTCTGCTGCACAGCTGCAGGGCAATGGCAGCACGGATGATAAGCAGAACAGTGCCAGGCCTAGTGGGGTGAACAGTGGCAATACGGCCAGCAATTCTCGTCTCACTTCTGGAACTGCAGGGCTGCTCAGCACAGGGGTCGGGACCATGGGCTGCAGTGGCATTAACATGGTTAGTTCCAGTTGGGAGGATGGAAAGGGCGGCGTGCGTTGGAGCGACGTGAGATCGGGCGGCACAGGGGCCATGTCGGTCGGCGCTGGATCAGGAGCGGGCGGCGGGTTTGCCATGGGGCCTCCTCCCCCCAAGTTCACAATGTGTGGAGGTATTGGAGGAGCAGGAGCAGCAGGAACAGCAGGAGGGGAGAGGATGATATTTCGGTCTCGACTCACTGAGACTCTCACAGGAAGGGTGGGGGAGGATGGTAAAGGGTGCGATGGGGGAGGGGCAAAAAGCCTCGCTGGTTGCAGTGGTGGTGCAGCCAAGAGTCTTACTGGAGGCACGTTCATTGCCATGCCCAAGCCAAGCAGCGCCTCTTTCCTCTCAGGCACTTCCGCTGCTGGTGCTCTTACGTCTTCTGCTTTGGGTACCTCTGCTGCTGGTGCTCTTACTTCTTCTGCTTTGGGTACCTCTGCTGCTGGTAGCTTCACTGCTGCTGCTGCTGCTCCCAAGGTAGTGGTCGCTCAAGGTGGTTGGATTCGAGCTGGGGGTGGTAGCAGCAGCAATGGTACCAGCATCGGTAAATCTTCTGCTTCAACCCCTCTTCTGGCATCTGTGCCTGCCAATCCTGCCCCTTTCTCTGTATTGGCCCCTTCGTCTGCTGGTGTGGTGTCAACATCTTGTGCTTCTGGTGCTACTGCCTCTGTTGCTGCTGTTGCTGCGTCCTCTGCTGCTGGCTCTACCACCCCTTCAGCTGCTGCCGGTTCCTCCTTGCCTAGTCCGTCGGCAACCCCTCAGGCGTCTAAGAGTGTTGCTAGTCTTAGGGAGTGGGCCACAGAGAAGACTGGTGGTGCAGCGAAGGCAGGAGCACAAGGGAACGGAAGGAATCTGGCAACTGGTAGCACATCTGCTGGGCTTGGGAGTAAGACAAAAGCACGAGGAGCTGGTTCGGTGTCAGGTGCAGAAGTAACTGCTACTGGAGGTGCTTCATCTGCGTCATCAGGAGCAGCAGCAGCTGCTGAAAAAGGAGGAGGGAATGGACTGAAATCACGGATTCCTGGGTCCAGCAGAGTCAACCAAGCAAAGGCACAGTTTGAATCGAAGCAAAGCCAACAGCAGCAGCAGGAACGGGAATGTCAGGAGACGAGTTTCAGCAAACAGAGAGTCCTAAGAAGCGCTTCCAAAGCTCGTCCTGCTGCTGCTGCTGCTAGTGCTAGCAATGGGAGTACACTTAATCCCAGTAACAAGGTGGCTGCTGCTGGTGGCAGACTGGCTGCTTCAACTCAACCGGGCATAACACGCGGCTCGGTTAAGCAAGCAGCCAAGGAAATCGCCTCCAAGCTCATGTCACCCCCTCCTTCCTCCTCCACCCGTTTCCGCACTGCTGGGATGTCTCACACAGCCGAAGCAAGCACCCCAGCTTCCTGTACCATCACTGTAGCACCTCCCGTTACAGTCACCCCTCCAGACAGCCACAGCTCCCCTCCCAGTGCGTCTGCCCCTGTGCTACCGGCCGCAGGCGGCCAATCAGGGATGCGGTTACCAAGTAACCTCGACCATGTGATTTTGTCTCCTTCGGTCACCCCCAGGAGATCCAAGAGGAAGCTTGCTCCTGGGGCAGGGACCACTGCAGCAGCAGCGGCAGCAGAGGGGATACGTTCGTATGAGATGACTCCAGATAGGATGGATTCGGATGAAGAGGATGAGGACGAGGAGAGGGAGCGACGGGCAAAGAAACCCATTCCTGCATGGGCAAGGTGAGAAATCACCCTTCAGTTTGACTCCTAAGTTGAGCCCGTCAGTTGAGCGCTTGAGTTGAGTGTTGAGATACAATTTCTTGGAGTCAAACGAGGGCAGTCTCCCACCACAAACCCTGCCCTCGTTTGACGTCTTGCCTCTCCTCGTTCTCGTGCCATCTTGTATAAGCTTGAGGTTAAAGGACCTGTGCTCTGTCGTTTCCTATCTCCCCCAGCTACAGACCTCTCTTTCCCCCTCAACCCTTTTCTCCCCTGGTTTTCCACACCAGGTCGTGCAATGTGAATGCGCAGGTGCAGAAGCAGCACGGGGTGGACCCAGATACTGTCTTCCCCAGCTGCACCCGCACTGTCAGCTTGAGAGAAGGTCGGTAAAGGGGTGCTGGGGACTGGATGAGTGCTGCTGGGTTTTGGGGTGAAGGGGAGTGGGGGAATGGGGGTGGCTTTTGTGGGCAGGGGTTGGACTAACTTGGTTACAGTCTTCCCCATCTGCACCCGGACCGTCAGCTTGAGAGAGGGTCAGTTGAGAGGTGCTGTGGACTGGATGAATGTGGTTGGGATATGCAGTGTGGAATGTGATTGAATCGAATAGAGCCACTCTCTCCTACTCCCACCCTCACCTGCATTTGCCTGCCTCCCCTCCAGTCCCTCAATCTTCTGGCTTTTGCTGTATCCCATGTCGTTCATTGCTGTATGCTTCATTTCTATGTCCTCAACAATATCCTCCTTTCCTTTTCCTGCGACACCTTATGGCTTGCCATGGCATGTTGGTTTGCGTTTGCTGGGATGGTTTGCATGGTTTGGTCCTGTGTTTGCTCTGCTGCTCTGTGCACTGTGGTGCTGTGTATGCTCTGCTGCTGTGTGCTCTGTGCGGTTGTGTATGCTCTGCTGCTGTGTGCTCTGTGCTGCAGTCTTTGGAACTAATAAACGAGGTGCAGACCGGCGAGGCGACACGGGTGACTGGATTCAAGACAGGCTCACATGGACTGAGGAGATGGAGTACAAAAAGGAGATGGGGTATTTGTAGGAACATTGAGTAAAAGAGGATGGGGTGTATGGAGGGACGTTTGAGTATAGGGATGAGATGGGGTGTTTACAGGGACGTGGAGCGTGAATGCAGACGGGCAGTCACGGGGGGTTGAAAGGAGGGAAGAGTGCACAGGATAGAAGATGCAAGACATGGGCAAAAGCTTTGCGTCTAAATCATGTGAAAGATGGAGGTAAATATTGTAAAAGCAGCTCTATACCAGGGATGGTTTGCTGGTCAATCATATCAGAGAGTGTGAGCCTAGAACATGAGACATGGATTACAAATGTGGATCACAATAAGACGTGTGCGTCAAGGTATTGAGGGTGGAGGATGTTTGCGGCATAGAGTGGATGCATGTATCCATGCGTTATCAGGCAGCCCCACCAGTTTGAAGCATGCAGGGCCCTCATAACTGCCCAATTGTAGACACTACGGCACGTATTATGGGTGCATACGGCTGTCAAGAACTGAATGATGTTGACCAAGGTTGGTTGGGGTACATGAACCTAACTCTAACTATTGCACCCCATATGACACACATCGGTAAGACTATAACATCTGACACACCCTCATAGTCAAAGTGAGGGGTGTCAAGCAAAACCAACTACGAACGGTCACAAGACCATTCACAAAGCAACAAAGCTCAGGGTGGATCACAATGTCACCACACACTCTGAGCACAAGCAAGAGCAACAAGGCCAGTTTAAGAGTTCACAAAGGTATGTATAAAGCGTACAAACAAAGCAAGGAGAGAACTCAAGACTATGCAAGGCGAGAACCTGTGTCAACGAGACCTAATTGCACACAACACCTCTCGTGGTCACAAGGCGGAAGGGCATTGGTGAAGATGTCAAATTATATATACTTGTTTAGGTTATCTAGGCTGCATGGGGGTTAGCACTAAGGGGTACAGAAACTTTCTCGATACCCTAGTCTTGTACCCACCCCTTCACCTAATTCCATCATCCTTGCCTTAGTTCTTAACATGGTAACTAGAGCAGGAGGTCTCTAGGACCTACGAATCGGGCCCACCTAACTGCCTGCCTTGCCTACTGCTCGCGCGCGCCTTGGCTGCAGCGCGCGTCTCTTTTTTTTTTCCGCGCGCGCCTTGGTTTCTAGCGCGTGCGTCACTTTTTTATAGCGCGCCACTGCTGCAGAGCTGCGCGCCGGCCCGCGTCGCCCACGCAGTGACAAGATTAAGAAGCTACCTAGGCTAGGAGAAAGCCTAGCCAAGGAGCATAGGTGAGGTAGAACGGGAGTATTGAGAGAAAATGCAAGGCAAGAAAGTGATGCACTAATGAGAATTGTGAGTACAAATAGCAAACAGCAACACAAGGAGGTGCACCACCAAACATGATGCACTATCTACACTACACTGCAAACTATTATATAAAATATGTAAACATATTTTGACACGCCCCCATAATTGTTTGCAGGAGTAAGTGTAAAACGCCCCCTGATGGGATACACCAGAAGTGCAGCGGAAGCATAAGTAGGCAAGAGCAGAAGTAGCCGGTGCAGAAATGGCAATTACAGCTGTAGCCAACCCTCAGCCAAGGCAGAAACAAAAAACAGGTGTAGGGGCGGCAGGTCGCCTGAGGAGCAGGCTCTGTGGCTGCAACGTGCAGCAGAACAGCAGCGGCTTGACGACAGCACCTGCAGGCCCCAGCAGTAGGCAACAGAAGCCAAGGAAGCAAAGGTAGGTTGTGGCAGGGGCGGCAGCTGGAGGTGCCACGTCAGCACAAGGCGACAACAGCAGATGACCTGCTGACTTCCGCCTCCCTCTCACCCTTCCCCCACAGCGGCACGTGCGGCAGTGAGAGAAAGAGGAGGGGCGACAGCATGTTGCTCACACTCGCCACCCCAAACCCTCCCCCCACTGCTGCAGGCGCAACAGGGAGAGAGAAGGGGCGGCGTGTGGCGACGTAGCGTTGTGGTGCAGTTGCAAACAGAGTGGCGACAGCCACCCTCGCGTCTCCCCTCCCCCCACTTCGCCACCTCCTCCCACAGCGGAAGCCGCGGCGTCGAGAAGCGAGGCGCCCGCGGCGACGAGAAGCAGGGCGCCCGCGATGACGGGAAGCGGAGCACCCGCAGTGACGCGCAGCGGGGCTCCCGCGGCGACGGGAAGCGGGGTAGAAGGGCTCGCCTTCGCAGTCGTCGCGGGAGTCAGGCTGAGCGCCTTGACGAGCGCCTCGACGGGCGCGACGGGGAGCGCCATGGCTAGCGGTGGGCCCATTAATTAAAAATTGTCCGCAGGAACGAACAGCTCTGATAGCATGACAAGATTAAGAAGCTACCTAGGCTAGGAGAAAGCCTAGCCAAGGAGCATAGGCGAGGTAGAACGGGAGTAGTGAGAGAAAATGCAAGGCAAGAAAGTGATGCACTAATGAGAATTGTGAGTACAAATAGCAAACAGCAACACAAGGAGGTGCACCACCAAACATGATGCACTATCTACACTACACTGCAAACTATTATATAAAATATGTAAAAATATTTTGACACGCAGCCCGCGTAGAGCTCGCGCGCCCCTTACGCCGCCCGCGCGCAGCCTGCTTAGGCCCATCGCCGCACGCAGCCTGCAGATGCGCGCGCTGCCCGTCGCCACGTGCAGCCAGGAACCGCGCGCAGCACGTAGCCACGCGCAGCAGAGAGCCGCGCGCAGCCCTTAGCCGCACGCAGCCAGCAGCCACGCGCGCCCTACTCGTGTACCTGCCTATGAGGCTCACTGCTGCCGAGCCCGTTGCCTTAGAACTGTGCGGCCTGCTACTGTCTAGAGCCCCACCTTAGGAGCTCAAGTGCAGCAAGCTACTGCCCTGCACGTTGCCTGTACTGCCTACTGCCTCCTGCCTCTGTCTTAGCCTGCTGTCTACTGCCTGCTGCCTCCGGTCTACTGCCTACTGCCTATGTCTTAGCCTGCTGTCTACTCCCTGCTGCCTCGTGTCTACTGCATGCCTGCTTTCTGCTGCCTTTGCCTGCTGCCTATATGACGACGCCTAATGTTCTCGCGTTCGAACCTGACGGTCGCCCCATAGAGTTCGCTGTGTGGCTAGACGACCTGCAACTGTTCCTTTGACCGATGCCAAAGAGGGCGTTTCACTGTTCGATTACGTGTCTGGCACTGCCGTTGCTCCTGCTGCCGATGCTCCTGCTCTCAAACGCTCGCAGTGGCAGACTCGTGATGCTGCTGCACGCCTAGCTATTAGGAACCATCTGCCGATCACTGAGCGCGCACATTTCAGCCAGCACAAAACTGCTAAGAAGCTGTACGAAGCTGTAGTTGCGCGCTACTCCTCCCCGGCCACTGCAGCCATAGGTCGACTCATGCTACCCTACCTGTTTCCCGACCTTTCCTCGTTCACCATTGCTGAGGACCTCATTTCCCACCTGCGCGCTACTGACACTCGCTTTCGTGCCGCCCTTTCAGCCGAATTCTGCGCCGCTAACCCCCCCCTCGATGTACTTCACTCTCTATTTCCTCGTCACCTGCCTCCCTGACACTCTTAGCTCAGTCAGGGACCACTTCCTTGCGCTAGACCCCCCCGCTCTCACTGTCGACGACTTCGAGAAGCGCCTCCTCGCAGCAGAGAAGAACATCCTCGCTGTAGGTGCTGCTTGTGGCACTCCTCGCTCTCCCCTCTTTGAGGGGTGCTCCCCCTCCCCTCTCACCCCCTCCTACGCCTCTGCAGCTGCTGCTCACGACTACCTTGGTGCTGAGGAGGTTGGGGCTGCTTTCACTCCTAGTGGGAAGCGTCGCAGCGGCAATGGCGGCAAGGGTGGCAGGGCAGGTGGGGGCGGCGGTGGAGGTGGCGGTGGTGCAGGCGGCGGGGGCGGTAGAGGTGGTGGGGGTGGTCGTGGGGGTGGAGGTGGTGGAGGTGGTGGAGGTGGTGGTGGGGGCGGCGGAGGCACTGGGGGCGGTGGAGGGGGCAGCAGCGGCGGTGGGGGAGGTGGGAGCGGTGGTGGCAGTGGTGGTCAGGGCCAGCAGCAGCCGCAGCAGCAGCAGTAGCAGCGTCAGCGCCAGACCCCCACTTCCCAGCAGCTTCTTGATTGGTATGCCGGGCGTGGGGCTTCTGGGGGTCCTGGTCGCTGCCCCTATATCATCCGCACAGGTCCTCGTGCTAATCGCCAGTGCACAGGGTTTCACACTGAGCAGCGCTGCTTCGCTCGACTTAGCGACGCCTGGCGCGCCAAGTTTCCTGATGCTACTGAGTTCCCCAACAGGGCAGACTTGCTTAGGCGTGATGTACCAATCTTTGATATTGACTATGAGGCTATTCTTGCTGCTATGTATGCATTGACTGTTAGTGCTGAGGGTGACTGCTACTTGCGTGTGCCGCCGGATCCT